AGTCAGTTACCTATAAGGGAGTACCCATACGACTGTCAGCTGATTTCTCAACAGAAACTTTGCAGGCCAGAAGGGAGTGGCAAGAAATATTCAAAGTGATGAATAGCAAGAACCTACAACCAAGATTACTTTATCCAGCAAAGCTATCATTCAGAATTGAAGGTCAGATAAAGAGCTTCACAGATAAGGAAAAGCTAAAGGAGTTCATCACCACCAAACCAGTATTATATGAAATGCTGAAAGGTATCCTTTAAGAAGAGGAAGAAGAAGAAAAAGGTAAAGATACAAATTATGAACAACAAATACACATCTATCAACAAGTGAATCTAAAAATCAAGTGAATAAATAATCTGATGAAGAGAATAAACTGGTGAATATAATAGAATCAGGGGCATAGAAAGGGAGTGGACTGACTATTCTCAGGAGGGGAAGGGATGTGGGGGGTGCGGGAAGAGACTGAACAAAAATCGTGCACCTATGGATGAGGACAGTGGAGGGGGGGGCGGGTAAGGGGAGAGGGTGTGGTGGGAACCGGGTGTAGGGGAGCTATGGGGGGAAAAAAGAGGAACAAATGTAATAATCTGAACAATAAAGATTTAATTTAAAAAAAGACACATGTTTTCTCTTCAAGTTGGATCACAATATCCTTTTATGTTAAAAAAATATAAGCTTTTGCTAAAATAGTTGAATCTAAACATTGGTAACAATATAGATAGTTCTCACAAAATAGTATTACAAAAGTGTGGTATTTGGACCATCTGTGGCAGAAATAACTGAAAGCTTGTGAAGAACTGCAAATCTCCGGCCCCTACCATAGATCTATCAAATCAATCTCTGTGGAGGTGGGGCCCAGGGATCTGTCATTTTAATCAGTTTCCCCAGTTGTTTCCAGCACTCTCATATAAGTTTATGAATCATCAGCCTGGGTGATGATGGTGGCAGCAGAATTAGGGAGAATAGTTAGTGAGAAAAATATTTTTTCTCAAAAACTGAAAATTTAAAAATTGATTTAATGTGTGCAGCAAGGGGTGAGATGAGTTCAACATTTCCCTAAGTTGCCTTACTTGCGATATAACAAAAATGATCAAATTTCCCATTTCTGACAGGAAAATTTTGACTGCAGGAAGCCACAAAGAATAAATGTGTGCTCATGCTGATGGTGACACCAATAGACATATGCTAGATATCTTTTCAGTAAAGTAAATTCATTAAAAGTACAACTAAATGTGATTTAATTTTTGTATCTTTGCAAGTCTTCCTATGAATAATTCACCGATCAGAAAAAAAAATAACAAGATCCTTTGTCAGGCCATGCATGTGTGTCCTGATTTTTGGTGCAGAAAATATGGTGCCTTGGTTATACAGGACTGAACCCAGGGATTAAGCTCAATGCAGACAAGTAGATTTATGCATCATCCACAGAAATGATAATTGAATCCAAGAGACAGATGGCATTGACCCTGGTACACTGACCCCACCATATTCAGAACTCTGAAACTTGGCGGTTTCATAATTTCAACAGAAGTGAAAGCTATGGGCAATCAGCATGCAGCAGCTAATCTCTCCTGATAGAACTTTTAGCTTGGTTGGAATAATTCAGTCAAGGGAGAGGTATCTCCATCTCTCTTATCAACATCTTTTAGAATAACTGTTTTCTCCTCTTTCCATAGGGAAAAGTTCTATAAATCCCTTTGATTTGGGGGATCTCAAACAGTTTCCCCAAGAACAGACAGGGTCTTGCTTGTATAGTAATTTTTAAAAATTCAAATGAGAGTCTTAAAGTCAGTGGGAAATGCTTTGATGTGGAAGTATGAAAACAGATACTGTAGAAAAAACCAAAGATATGAAATCCAAACCAGAGGAAGACTAATATTCCTGAGGCCCAGATTGTAGAGTGTTTTTAGGATTATGTAGTGTCAACAGCAGCAGAAAAGTAGAAGTGATAACTAAAAACTATCCTTTAATGTGGCACTGAGGTTTTCAGTGATCTTAACAAGCCAAGCTGAGGGTAGTAAAATCCAAAGATTTTTATTACATAGTACTAGCAACTCACTCTGGAAATTTGGTGATGAAAAAATATAAGAGGAGTAAAGTTTATTGATGCCTACTATGTACCTGCCACTTCATATTTGTTATTTCATTTCTCCCTCACTATGAAGGTATAGAAACTATGGCACAGAGGTTAAGTAACTAATGAAGCTTAAAACAGATTACAAGTGATATAATCTAAATTTGAACCTGGTTTGTCTTATTCCAAATGGAACATGCATTCCACTACAAGAGGCTGGCCACATGTCATTTAACAGAATTTTGTGACCCATTGGCTTTATATGCTTTATTTAGTTCCCTATTTTGGGAACAAGAGTATCAACAATGTTGAGGTAGCAGTAGTGGGGAATTTGTATGTCATAGTTTGGAGGAGAGGACAGACGCCTTATACTTAATAAGTATTAACTAACTTAAGCCTTACAAAAATCCCATGACATAAGTTCTATTATCATTTTGCAGCTGAGGAAAAATGAAGTATGGACATGGAAGTAACTTGCTCATGGTCATCCAACTGGTCCACAGCTGTATTCAAACCATGTTTGTTTGACTTTAAAGTTTTTCTGTTTGCACTTTCCCATGCACCTCAGGGAAATGAAGAAGTCAAGTGTGCTCTCATATTGAAGAAGAGGAACCAGAAGAGAAGGCTTGGAATTAAAGGTCACTTGTTTCATTTCAAACTGGCATCCCTCCTGTGACCCTGAATTCACTTTATCTCTGTCTACCTCTTGATCTTTACTGTATTACTAAATAAATCCCTCCTTCATCCTTCTTCTATATGTTATTGTTCCTATTGGAAACTTCTCATGACTGTGTTTCTCACTTTAAACCTAATAATCCCATAGCATTCATTCATTACATCACTAAAGCCATCTTTTGTTCTTTATCTTCTCTATTATTCCAATTCATTATGTAGGACAACCTCAAATCCCTCCCAAACCTTAGAACCCATTTTCTCTTGCCTCTGCAGTTCATTTTACCAAAGTGGAATTCTAGATTTCTTCTGCAAACATAGATTTTTCTATTGACTCTTCATGAAGGTTTTATCAACTCAATGGAAGTTATTTCACCTCAGTGTAATTGAGGAGGTGTGCCAGTGGCACACTCAGAGCTTCACCATAGAACATGTACCATGAAGTATCACACCTGAATTAGTACCGTAGTTCTCAGCATTCAAACCTTCCCCACACTATATTCTTCAGAGGAAAAGTGTGATACCCAGAGATTTTTCCTTCAACTGCATATATCTCAAAGTTAATTCATATACTAATCATAACTCAACATAAATAATAGACCTACTTCTCTTCTAGCTACCCCTTTATCACCTTCTCTTTTGAGGTATCTAGCAATTAGATGACCTTTTTACTCTCTACTTCCTCCTTTGCCATTTTCTCAGCAGCATTTGTTTAGCAATCTCTTAATTTACATTTATAGTTTGTAACCTGTCAGATGCTAGAGATAGCAGAGTCATTGTTCTTCTAAACTTTGTTAATGTTTGCCTTCATGCCATATACCACCCACCAACAATAATAGAACTTCATTCAGCCAGCTCTATTTCAAACCACAATCTTCTTACAATCTCTCTGACTTCACTAGGACACTTAGCTGCTCTGACTCCATTCACTTCACTCCGATTATTGATTCTCTTCATGTCTTGTTGGGCTTCCTCCCCAACCTGACTGCCATTCCTTATTCCTGTATCTTCTATAGATCTAGAGTTCTTGTAACCCCAGTTTCTTATTTAGCTTACTAAGTTTTACTCAAAGATCTTCTGTGACAACCTCTACCTAACTACTATACCCTTACCTATTCATCTAATTTTCTATTCGTGACCTCTTTCCACCTTGCCTGCCATGATAATATTTATCTGCTTATGGGTTTGCTTTTGCCTGTTGACCAACTCTTCTTAGGTTTTTATCCCTAATTTTTTTCTTTGATACCTATCTAACATTGACCCATTTCTCCAAATGGGCAGGTATGCCAACTATCCACCCCATAACAAATCTTATTAAGCATTCAGGCCACACCCTGTGGTAACTCTATCACTTCCCTGATATTTTTTTGTATTGTTTCCCACAATACATTAAAAAGAAGAAAAAAATGAAAGTGGTTAACATGTTCTGCTTTAATATTGGCAATTTAATGGAAGAAAATGATATTTAAAAACAAAGGTGCTAAGTGCTATTCTTATCATTGGTCTATGTTCCATGTAGTATATAAATAAAGAAAGAAAATATTTTAGTTGTAAAATGTGTGTGAGTTTGGTAGTTCAACCTAGACTAAGGTGTATTGGTTTGAGACAGGCAGATGAAAGGCATGAATAGCAATGAAGAATATGTAAAACTGTTGATAAAACCTCTTACCCCTACTATGAAATACAAGACACAGATTTTAAGCATTAATATAAAATTTCAATATGCTGTTGCTTAATCATGTAAATTAATGACTTTAATAAAGGCAGATTATCTTTCCAAAATCAAACAAATGAAAGGCCTTAGTCATAAAAATGGAGACCATTCCTTATTTATGAATATATTGCCTTTCAGTGTTGGTTTGCTACATGAAAATCTTCATCTTTTGTCATTTTTACTACGGAATGGAGAGTTACCTTTCCTAGCTGTCCCGCCCCCCACACACACCTAAATGTTTCAGCCAAATTGAACCAATCCTTCATTGTTTCCTAAATACATGCTTTAATGTAGGTGGATCTTTGGAGAATTTTAGAACTTTAGACATCTCAAATAAATACCCAAGCTATAGAACAATGAGGTAGTTCTCTTCTATGAAAAATTGGCTTTGTCACTCTAAGAGAGGTTCCCTAGACCTTCCTAATCATCCAGGTTATCATACCAAATTCCCCGCTTATATAAAATTTCTGAACTTTTCACTGCCTTTAACAATGCTAGGTTCTATGCATACACAAACACCCACCACCCCCATCACTGTTAGACAAATTTCTCTTTCTTTATTTTTTTAAATATATTTTATTGATTTTTTTTACAGAGAGGAAGGGAGAGGGATAGAGAGTTAGAAACATCGATGAGAGAGAAACATCAATTCAGCTGCCTCCTGCACACTCCCCACTGGGGATGTGCCCGCAACCAAGGTACATGCCCTTCAGTCCACAGGCCGACGCTCTATCCACTGAGCCAAACCGGTTAGGGCTCTTTCTTTAAGAATCACTGCAAATATAGCTTTCTCAGAAAAATTTTTTCTGTACCTGGACTCCAAACAGTGGATTTTTCTTTGTTATCTTACAATTGTTTGCTAAATCTATAGCATTTCTCAATTTATATTCCAAAGATTTACTTACATGAATGTCCCTCACAATGGATTGTCAGATCCCACATGCAAGAATGATGTGTTTTATATCCTCAATTCCTAATGAATGTATGTAATAGATATTTAATTTGTTATTTAACACATGAATACAGTATACTATAAATCAGTAATTGCAAAATCTATTAATAAGCTATTAATAAGCATGTCATCCTCAGTATAAATCATTTTTATTAAGTGCCCACTGCACTAACATTGTATAGAATGTGCTATGAACTAATCAGCATGAAGTATTAATATGATCTAGACATTTACAACCTCATGAATGCTGATTATACTCATTCAGAAATTGAGACAATCTAGATAGATCAACCTCAAAATTACCTTGGTTAGAAATTATTTCCTTCATTTTTGCAATATAATGGTAATTATATTCAAGGACCCTAGAACAAATTTTAAGTGTTTTATATAAAATAATTGATATCCTAATTAACAGTCATTCTTGTCTATTTTCATTAAAGCAGATTTCTCTAAGGAGTTCTTTTAGGATACAGTTTTTTGTTAGTCTACATTGAATTACAATAGGTACTTGAGGGTAATGGGCACTGGGGAAAAAAACTGAAAGTTGGAAAAGAGTGTAGAATTGAACTTAGAGCACAGCTCACTCAGAAGGGGCATAGACCCAGAACAAGTTTCATTTAGACCAGCGGTTCTCAACCTGTGGGTCGCCTAAGACCATCAGAAAACACATATATAATTACATATTGTTTTTGTGATTAATCACTATGCTTTAATTGTGTTCAATTTGTAACAATGAAATTGGGGGTCACCACAACATGAAGAACTGTATTAAAGGGTCGCGGCATTAGGAAGGTTGAGAACCACTGATTTAGACCAAAAGATCTACTGAAATCTTCAATTTAAGCTCGTGTTTCTTAAAGTCTCTAATAAACATGTTACATTCTGTGTCACATTTTCCCTCATTTAAATTTATTCTCAGAAAAGTATCTGAATTTTAAAGAATGTTCCTTATACCATGGCCCCATATACCCAAATTTAATTTTAATAGAGATAAAAACCATAGAGTAGAAAATAAAATTTTGGTTGTATTTTCAAGCAGATGATGTGGAAACACCTGGGTCAGGCGGAATGGGTCTTCCTTGGAGATTTGAAATTACTCCATTGTAATTCTTTCTTTCTAGTTCAAATGTGACTTTTACTAGCCTTGCACTAGATGAAGGGCACAGACATCATCAGGATATTGGGTTCACCTCCTTGAGATGGTATACATTTTTCCCACTCTGACAAACAGTTCTGTCAAAGTTTAAAGAATTAGTCTTTATTGTAAAGTGGATAAATGTGTCTTGCTGAAACCATATAGGCTTTCAGGGCCTTTCCAGAAACAAAGTAAACAATTCCTTTTTTCTAACATTTGATAAATATGAGCAAGCATCTGAAAGCACACTCCCCCACCCCCAGAAGTAGGTCTTCTGAGTATGTCTCTTGCCTCAGCTAACCTTAAAA